ATTTGCGTCCCCCCACGCCCGCCCGACCTCGTCCCGCATTCGCTATCCCTAGGGCTTTTCACCTCTCTTCTTTTTCTTCGCTCACCGACACCTGTAACGAGGGTTTCCCAGTGTGTGGTTCCTTCTTCCTTTGGGATATTCTACCCCTCATCTATTCTTGGTGACTTTGCTCTATTATGCATATGAGATATTCCGTTTTTCTACATTTTCCGATTGCTTCGACTCTATTTGGTTTGTGCTTTGAGATTTCAGTTTCATTTTGGTCTGTTCAGTTTGTGGATTTGCTATATTCATTTGGGTTTTATTGGGATAATTACATACCTAGCACTCCAAAGCATGGTTTGTGCTTTGCTCTTCCCAGTATCGTTCCGATATTTGAGTGGCAATTTGAGAAATGGATACAAGTAGGTGTTGGATTTGTGAATAGCAATGTTTCGGTGTATGTTATGAATATGGATTGGGATTTTATCAAGAACTTTGATATTTGAGTGAGAATTTGAAAATTGGATGAAAGATGGTGGTGGATCTGTTAACAGCAATGTTTCAGGTGTTGTGTATCTTATGAATATGGATTGGGATTTTATCATGAATTTTGATATTTGATTGAGAATTTGAAAAATGGTTGAAAGATGGAGGTGAATTTGTTAATAGCGATGTTTCAGGTGTTGTTAATATTTTGTTTTCAAGAAAAATGGATGAAAGATGGCATATTTTGTTGTGTAATAGCAATGTTTTGGGTGTTGAGTACATTCTATTGTGTATATTTTGAAAAATGGATGAATAAGGGTGTTGTGTAATTGCAATGCTATGCCTTTGATTTCATGATTATTAAACTCCATATTTAAGAAGCTCATATGACATGGTGAGCTTTCTATTATTCAACTTTTATTTTGTTTTCAGTATTTCTCTTGTGCCTTCAAAATCTATAGCCACTACTTGTTTGGTATGGAGTTGGAGTGTGGTGCGAAGGGGGTGGCGTGTAGTGCGAAGGTGGTGGTGTGTATTGTGGAGATGGCGTGCAGGGTGGCGATGCGGTGCGGAGGTGGTGGTATGCGGTGCGGAGGTGGTGGTGTGTGGTGTGGAGAAGATTGTGTGTGGTGTGGAGAAGATTGTGTGTGGTGTGGAGTTGGTTGTGTGGTGTATGATGTGTGCTGTGTGGTGTGGAGTTGGTGGTGTGGCAATGGTGGCATGGTGTGGTGCTGGAGGCGTCTGGATGTGATGTGTAAGGTGGTGGTATGGTGTGGAGGTGGTGGTGTGTGGTAAGGAGGTGGCGGGGTATGGTGCGGAGGTAGTGGCGATGATATTATGACAATGTTTTTCTTTGAGTTGTGGTAATTAATTTTTTGGCAAATATTTTTTGTTTTTTAATTATGTTCATGCAAGTGACACAATGGTTAAGACAAAAGAGCTCGGTTCATCTACTTGTCGGCGCTTAAAAGGGGAAAAGTTAATATTCAGTTTATGTTTGGGGGTCGCCCGTAAGAAACTGTCGACAGCCGGAATTGAAATCCCGTCGCCCGCTTCGGAATGACTTTTTAATTTACATATATATATATATAATTTTAGAAAAATATGAAATCAAACTGACCTCATATTTTCCATGGTTTAAATGAAAGAGCACTCAACCTCAAATTCTGTATCTACCCCGAGGGATAAACACAAGACTTGAGGGTGAGACTCGATCAAATAAACTAAGAAAGATATGACATCCGTTTGGGTCTGCGAAAC